TATATCTCTCTGCAGGAATACTGAACGTGGAATGCTTGATCAACTCTGTTCCCCTCCTTTCCCCTGCCTCACCCCAGTGTTAGAAGTAACAGCTTAATAAAACTGAGAAGCAGAAAGAAAATATTTTTAGTTTGCTGCATAAGAACACTTGATTTACAGTCAGTTGATGTTTTTCTGTGCAAACGCTGCCAATGATTTTCTCTGTAAACACTGCCAAGCTCTTTTATGAAGAGAGAATAAATTTGAATAAGAAAGTGATTGTGAAGCTGCAAAAACTGGGCTTATTTCAAGCTGACAGCTCTTTCTGCTGCATGTAGTGTATCCTTTTGTACTCCAGCATGTGTTTACCAGAATTGTCATATCTGAGATCTTTCACGTGGCTTGTATTTGAGTCCTGGTGCACTGATGCTAGGGGTTGATAGTGTAATTGAGATTGGGGAGTTCACAGTTCTTTATGTCTGTATCTGTAGGTAATAGTAGCCACCAACATTGCTGAGACCTCCATCACAGTTCACGGAATTGCATTTGTAATTGATTGTGGTTTTGTGAAGCTTCGGGCCTATAACCCCAAACCAGCCATCGAATGCCTTGTGGTGGTACCAGTATCTAAAGCTTCGGCTAATCAGAGGGCAGGACGTGCCGGCCGGGACCGCTCTGGGGAATGTTACAACAGTAATTTGACATGTAGGGAAGGTGAACTTCCTGGTGTGACTTCCACCTTGTTGTACAGTGGTTTTAGTGTTAGATTAAGAACATAACTGTGTTTTTTCTTTCAGCAAGAGATAGAAATTTCCCTTCATTATTCCTCCAGCTTATTTAGAAATACATTGTTCATATGTGCTAAGCGTTGGAAACTGAATCCTTTTATGAGTCAGAAACACAAATTGAGCAGGGTGGGTACTGTGAGATTGTCAGTGATTGCAAACCTGTCATGTTAATGCAGCTTGTAGAGTGGCAACTCTACTAAGAAGCTTATTTTTTAATTTTTTTATTTCTGAGCAGTTGCTTGAATTCATAATACCCACCTATAACGTTCTCTTCTGTGACTAAAGTCTCCTTTAGGCTGTGCATCTAACAAAGGACTCTGGAAATCCTTCAGAAAACTGAGGGAAAACTTCTTTACGTGGCCCCTTTTTCATAGGAATAGGTGCCAACCCCAAATACATCTCATAATCAATGATCCTGGCACTGCACAAAAATTACTGTTACAAATAAAACAGTTCGCCACCTAGCAGTGTTCAGAAAGCTGCAATCTAACTGTCTCGATTATCAACTGTTTAAAGAGAAAAGACTTTGCAGTTGAGTACTGCCATTGCTTATGTGCCTCAGGTTCCCTCTAGTTTTACTGGAGCTTCAAGACCTAGAGACATCAAACATATCTCTTAAAAATGTGTGTGTGCTTGCCAGAGTTGCCACATTAAACAAAGACATGATTTACTCTCCAAACCTTTGTGTGCAATGAAGAAGCAGGAGTGAATGTCTGCTGCGAAATATACCAAGCTTTTTAAGTATTTTACTGGAGAACCATGACTACACTGAAGTTATTTTTGTGTGTCCAAGAGCTGGCCTAATGGGCACTTTAAGAAACATTTTAAAGTTCCTTTTAAAGTGCACCGAAGAGACAAAAGTAGAGAAAAGGTACACTATATTTGTCTTAGTGAAGGTCTGAGTTAGAACAAATAGAGGGGGGTTCTGTATAGAAAGGAAAATAATTTGGGTAGAAATATTTCTTGTTTTGATTTGGAGTTTTAGCTAAACATAGGGATGTGTGTGTGTATCTTCACTGCACAAGAGTTGGTTAATGGAAGGTACAGGAATTTTGACCTTACATGAAGTATTTTTCCAGACTTAGACTGTATAGTGAATGCGCTTTATAAAAGGCATCGCCAAATAAATTGGTTTTCAATTTTTAGTCATTATTTTAAGTATGCTTTTTAAAACCTCATTTTGTTTGAATAGTTACTAAAACTAGTAATCTTATACTGAAAGCATGCTGGTTTTGAACTTTTCCTTGTCCCTTTCAAAAAAAAAAAGGATTTTTGTAATATTGCACACTACCTTTTATTTTCTGATTAAAAATATTAAACCAGAAGAGAAATAAAGCGTTTCTAGATTTTCGTGAAGAACTTATAACATTTCAAATTGAAATGTGGGTGGGTAAACTACAGAATCAGTAATGTGGCCAAAACCATTGAATTTTCTATTTAAATTACGGTTTCATATCTCTGAGAGTTCTTTTAACACTGTTAAGTATTTATACTCAATAATTGTAACTTGAAATGGGTATGATTCTATCACATTGACCGCATACAGCGGGAGTTGAAACCTGGTCCCAAATTGCTTTGTTTTCTCCCACAACAGAGGAGGACTTCGAGAAGCTGCCGAAGTCCACGGTTCCCGAGATGCAGCGCAGTAACCTGGCACCCGTCGTCTTGCAGCTGAAGGCTTTGGGAATTGACAACGTGCTCAGGTTCCCCTTTCTCTCAGTGAGTCCTGGGCTGTAAAGTCTGTCACCTTTCTGTAGTGTGAAGAAAGATGACTAGGAGACTTGTTGGTAACCCACAGAACCGTTAACCAGTACCCATTGCCCTGTTGATTTGGAAAGCATACCGCATTGCCCGCTGTCAGGCAGCAAAGTATTTTTTAGTGCAGGTGATGTGTGTGACAACTTAGAAACAACAACTGGTTGTATTCTAGAGTTTGCTGTTGGAAGTGCTGAGAAGTTGAGAAAGGCCTAGAAAAACAAACTCTGAGATTCTGCAGAACTGTAACTGTAGTCCCTTTGCACTGAATTTATGAAGAGGAAAATTGATATCTACAAAACCAAACCTATGCTTGTCTGTCTTGTTAAAAAGAGCAGTACCAATTTTTAAATTTGCTTTCTGTAAAGTCTCTAGCTACTCTTCTATTGATGTGAAAAACTAGTATTTCAGAAAGTTCAGAAAGTAATTGTTCTGATCACTTTTGGCATCACTGTTGGACAAAGCAAGCATGCCTTTTCTAGCTCAGATTTTGAGAGCATCGTAGTGATGACACTGAGCCTGCTGATGTGCTTTTGACTCGCAGCACTGGTGGTCAGTGGAAGAGTGATAGGAAGAGTCTGAGAGCTCTTTCTTCATTTTGCCAAAGTAGGAAGGTAGGTAGGTAGAACTCAAAGGTTTTGCGAAAGAGGGAGATCTAAGAATTGTTATGAAAACTTGTGTGTTCTATGATGATAACTTTAAACAATGCACACTTTTTTCTTCACAGCCACCTCCTGCACAGTCAATGGTGCAAGCTTTAGAATTGCTGTATGCTTTAGGAGGTGAGAACTTTATGCTTTGCTTTATTTATGCTATAGGAGTTATGAAAAAAAATTGTTAATTTGGATTTCATGATTGGATGGACATTGAGAACTGTGCTTAGAGAAATGCAGCCTCGACTGGTGGCAGCTTTTTCTTGGTGTATTTTTAAAGCATACCTCAGTTTCCTCTGAATTTACTTTCTTTTCCTCTGGTTATTTCAGGCAGGTAAGCAAGCAAAAGGCAGCAGTAACTTTCTGAGAGGAACTAGAAATCTATTGCATAGAATATAAACTAGATTTTAAAAATAGGTATTTGTCCAATCTAAACAGTTATAGCAATCTTCTGTGTATTTCCTTGCACCTTCATGGGAGGAACCAGCTATTTGTCCCTGCTAGGAACAGTGCTCTGAGCTGATGAGGCTTGATTCTCTCAGGCACATCCTCTGTTTGGATTTCTTCAGTCCTGCAGAGTGGTATGAAGATACAAACAGAGTTTGGACGCTAATTACACCAGTACATGAATTAGACGCTAAATTTACCTGCATCCAATTAGATAAGTTGTTTAATACTCCAGCTTTTAGTGTGGTGATCTTTCATTTTGTGTTACTGTGCCAGTGATGGAAACATGTAGCATTTGCAAGTATAAACAAAAAAAGTTGAAAGTAAAGATTTGACATCTCTTTCAGGTTAGGACTGACTGTAATAACCTAGAATTTAGCATCATTAATATAATTGCTACTTTGTTTATTCCTTGGTCTGACTTTAAAAAGCATAGTGTGTCTCTTAAATTTTTCTGTTAGCATGTTACATTCATTATCTGATCTTCATGTGTGTGTGGGAACTCTGCCTAAACATTGCAAGTAAAATCTGATGCTTGAATTTGGGAGAGGCTGGTCACTGGATGCTAGAATTCAACCCAACAGAGAGCGTGCTTCTCGATAGCTTAGCGAAGCAAGTGTCACGTATTAGTTTTCATACCTTCTCATTGGTATGATTTTAAAGGTATGACTGACAAAAGTTATTAAGAGCTAATCTAGTTAAAATTTTAAAAATGCGTTTTAGTCTGTGTCTCTGCTCTGAATGTAGTGTGGCTTCTGGCTAAAAGACCACACCTTGTGTAAGGTAGTGCTAGTGGTATTAGTCCTGCAGCTGAGAGAGTTCAAACCTTGCTACAAGTCAAATTGTTCTGATTCTATTAGCTGCGAATACGATGCAACCACTGAACGCACATGCGCACACACCACCCCCCCGATCATTCCATAAGGCAGCATGTTTCCTCCTGGATGAATTGAAACTACTTTTCTCCTGCTCAGTGTCTGTGTTTCAGTGCACAGCCTGCTTGCTTTTCATGTTTTTAAATGCATAGGAGCTCATTTGCACGCAGCTTGCATAGTCTGCTCTAGTTTTAGTATTGAACTTTCTAGTTACGGACAAATGAACAGATAGACACAAACTTCTAATGAAAAGAAGAAAAAGCTAGTCTAACAGACCCAGAGAGGATAATTCAAAGTCATTTCTACTACTTAGCTACTTAATAGAATATCTTTTTTTTTTTTATTATGTTCTCTGAATTACTACTCACAGCTTGTTCTCAGATTCAGTAGAGAGTCTGAACAACACTCTTAGTCATATGGTTTATTTTTAGGCAGTCCTGCGAGGAGCAGGGAGTTGGACTCAATGGTCCTTACAGGGCCCTTCCAACTTGAGATATTCTATGACTCTATGATTCTAAATGTGGTCATTTGGGTTTTATTCATTATGCTGCTGTTGGATACCTATAACACTCAAATCACACCATAGTAATAGTTTCATATGCAGTTTTCAATCCTTTTTTTTTTTTGTGGTGAGTGGCATGTATGCTGTCTAATTTTGTTTATAGGAAGAACTATTGTTGGGTTTTTTGACAGCTATTTAATCTTTTTGAGTGCAACAAACTTAAACAAAACAGAAACTTGACACAAGAACAAATAATCAAAATGAAACTCTGTTTGACTTTTAACTCAGTGTTTGTAGTTAATTCAAAGTTAACAATATTTGCTTCATAATGTAAACATGAGGAAAAGGGTAAAAGAGATTGTGTAGAGTTTGGAAGCTTCCAGAGGTTTGTAGCTGTTTTTACCTCACTTACAAATGCTGTTGTAACTTGTGGCAGTCTGCTCTCTTCTTATTCTCACAGAGCTGTAACTCTCTGCTTGGCTGTGATTTTGCTCTGTGCTGATTCAGTTCCATCTTGCAAAGGAGAGTTTCACTTACAGCACTTGGTTCTTGGCAACCGTCTCAAGCTTGGAACAAAGACCTTCACAGTGGCTCAGAAGCGTGTTGCAAGGATGAATTCACAGCCAGAACCACCTTAGGGAAACGGAGAGGAAAGGTCAATAAACTCCCTGATTAGCTGTTTGATGTTTTGGCAAAAGTGTTATGCTCATGGTAGCTTTGCAGAAAAGTACAGAGCTGCTGCTCTGTTGGCTGCCCGGCTTTTGTAGCAAAGTGCTGATGGTGGTGTTTAAGACGGAAAGAAATGTGTGCGCATGTGTGTGATAGATGGATTCGCTCTCCAATTTTTGCTGAAGTTTAAGGTTTTAGGTGGTTTATTACGGAGATTTTATCTAAGTTGCAGAGGTGAAGCTGCCCAAGCGTTTGCAGGTGCAGGAAGTATTAAATTTCTGTTATGCAAGTGTGAACGCATATTTCATTATTTGCATTGTAATAGCATGCAAATGTGCAGTTTAGGGTCAGGACCCTGTTGTGCCAATGCACATAAGAGAAATTTATTCAACAGAACTGTCTTATGCAGAGCAGATACTCTTAAGGTTGAGATAGTTCTGTTGAATAAACACATCACTGTTTTCAGACTGATTATTTTCTAGTGATGTGAACTGATTGCATCACGAGTATCTCTTCTCAGCCTTCTCCTTTGATGTCCCTTTGAAAGTCTGAGATGTCGGTTGGAGTTTATTCTTTTTAAGCGTAATTTAGAAGGTTAAAAGTGGCTTTATTTTTAGCTTTATTTCACATCCAAGACTTTGAAGCCTTGTTTGTAAGTTGTTGCCTATCAGAAACAACCACTCTAAGTTTAAAATAAAGTGTTTTAATCCCTTGGCATGTCACATACTAGTGGTTGTTACTTGAAACTTTTTAGTGACATGGGACTTGAATAATCTCTCCTGAGTATGTTCAATAAAAATCTTTGCAGTATCTTTTTCAAAGTGGAGCTAAAGATCTCTGATTTCATACATATATATATATATATATATGGATCTAGATGGTTGCTTTCGAGATTATTTGAAGGAAACTCTTACCTATTCCAAACTTGTATTTTTTTGCAGGCCTTCTGTGTGTATTCAGTCTTACTGCTACGAAGACATCTGTGCACAAGCTATATATATATATATATATCTATCTCCATGCAAAATTGCACTGAGATTTGTAGGATACAGCAGAAGCCAAAGGATTTTGGCTTGATGCACCTGTAGAAAGTCAAAAAGATGACAATTATTCCTTTTTCCTACTTAGGAACCCATTTATCTCTCTGTAGATGAAAGACAGCATATTCTAAGCTATTAACTGGTCAAATTAAAGCTATCATACCTTAATTTTTGCAGTTTCTTTGACTGTGTGTTTAAATATATTTATCATTTCACATAAGCTGCCTTTTGGACCTATTTCTGAAGGAAAATGTTTTGACATTATGTGAAATGTCTATTAGGTTTTGTTGAACAGTGTAGGGGTGTGGTGAGTGAATTACTACGTTGTCATAATAAGTGAGATGATAGCATATCAAATAATAAAGGAAATTAAACACTTGATAGGGGTATCTGTGGGTTCAGATATGCTGACATGAGTTATAGGAGATCTCATTCCTGGACTTGATTTTTGGTTTTGCTTTTCTCTGTGAAACATAGCTGATGTACAACTGTGTTTTTTTGTCACTATGCAGTTTGACACGTAAATATATAATGCATGGGCCACCGTTGTGCTTCCTCAGTCTACTCTGCTGTGGTTATTTATGTAATCTACAGTGCCCCAAAGTCCTGTTATTGGGCTCTTCTGTCTCTCCTTGTGTAGCTTTTCTCTTGTGCTCTGCCTCCTTGTTGCACCTCATACCAATTGGCTTGCTTGCAATTTTCTTTTCTCTTTCAATTCTCACTCTTTGCTGCCTTTCTTAATGAGCTCTTTTCCTTCTATCATTTTCTGTGTCTGTATTTTTTTTTTTTCCTATTTCCTGTGTTCTTTTGCAAAGGAAATGCTTTTCCATTTAAATCGTTCCCTGATTCAGCATCATGTTCTGGATTAGAATATAATTTGCCTGGGTAAACCATGCTGCAGGTGTTTGACTGTAGGAAGCCATGGAACTAAAATGAGAAACATGCAGGGTTACTTAGTGATAACCAGGAGTCAAAAAGCAAACTGTCGTATCTCTGTCCTGTACCACTTCATCTCCAGTAAAAAGGGTACAGTTGGAACATGGCTGACAGTTTAGCTATTGATGCATGAGGCTGTACGAACTGCAGAGAATCTTCATCAGCTGTACATCTCTAGATGATACTAAAGTTAAATTGTTTTTCTCCATGACCTAAGCAGATGTGACTCAGCAAAATGACATCCTACCCCACCACCTCCCAGTAGTGCTTCCTGTTTCTACAATTATGCCTGTTCCATAATTATGCCCTTTTTTAATTCTCATCAGGACTCGTTCTGCTTTCCGTCACCATGAACAAAGATGTTGCTAACTAGTTAAAAAGAAGATACACGAGTCTAACAGCTAGTGGGCACTGACTGCCATTGCATTGACTTTGACTGCAAGTTTTCTAAATTATTGGCAGTAGCAATGGAACTTGGTCAAAATGAACAAACTTGTGTGTTAAAAAAACCCAAAACAATACCAGTGACCTACAGGAGAGTAAATGGATATTAAGGGGCACCTTTAAGCTTGGTTTAATATACAACTAAGAATTGCTGAACATATTTGCTATATTTTAGCTCTTAATTCTGCTCTTTAGTACACATTAAATTGCTAAACAAGACTTTCTGTGCTACTTTTACCTGTATCACAGCTACATTTATTAATATGCTGTAGGTTTGGATATGCACTGCCGTTTAACAGAGCCTCTTGGAATGAGAATAGCAGAGTTTCCTTTGAATCCTATGTTTGCAAAGATGCTTCTGGAATCAGGTAGGAGAAAAAAAAAATCAGATTTGTTTCACAGGCTTGTGTTGAGTAAAGGATATTGTCTCTAGTGATTATAGTGTAGTGTTAGACATTTGCTCAACTTGAAACAAACTATATGCTTCATCTTGGTATGGTGTTTACTGAAAAGAATTGGTTAAGCTCATGAACCTCTCTAACAAATAAGTCTAACAATTTAACACCCTAATTAACAAGTCTAACACATTTGTCTTTTGTGTTTCATATTAAAAAACATCCACTGTTTATACTAAAAAAAAAAATCTAGGGGTTTAGGTATTTTGGTTTTATATGCCTTAAAAATATATTTCACTTCTTTTCCTCTTTATTCTGTATGGGGATAAGTTGAATGGAAGAAGCATTTCCTTTACGGAATTTCTCTACTTACTCCTCAGGAAATTTTGGCTGCTCCCAGGAGATTTTGACAATAGCTGCCATGATGCAGATTCAAAACATCTTTGTGATCCCTCCAAATCAAAAAGCTCAGGCTGTAAGTTCAGTCATGTCTTATTTTGTTTTTGTTAGTTCCACGTTTCTGCATTTCTGCCAAGTATTTTATTGATACTACTATATTTTATTGACTGCAAATTTGTACAAAAATGAAGCAAGGTCTTGAACTGTACCTATCGGTTACAGGTAAAAGAAGAAACTGAGTAATGGTGGGAACCATGGAGTCCTTTACTAGTGTTAAAAGACTCCTTCTGAGAACCAAAGTCATGAAGGGTTATAAATGAATATTGGTCAATATAAGCGTCTGTAGAGGCGGGGGAGAAAACCCCAAACAAAAAACCAAACCTCCCCAAACACCAGTTCCTTTCAAGAGGAACAAAAAAAGAAAGCATTAGGATGTAGCAAGTGCTCTATAGATAACAGGAGCCTAATTTTAATGCATTCCTCTCTTGCATTTTGGGGGTTCTCTTTTTTTTCTAATTTAAGTTTTAAAAGTGCTCCTGAATATAGGTGGGCTAGTAAAATATTGCTGTTGCCTAGAGGAACTACCCTATATGGTGAGAGTTACCAGGAAATATGCAGATGATGGGAACTATGGATATTGGACTGATTTTTGCAAAAATCAATGTGCCTATAAAAATATATTTCTTCTTCTTCTCCAGGCCAGGCAACACAGAAAGTTTGCTGTAGAAGAAGGTGATCATCTCACTATGCTTAATGTTTATGAAGCCTTTGTCAAAGTAAGTCAGCTCAAGTGTTTGTGGATTTGCAGGAATGGGAAGAGTGTGAAGTCCTGAGTTCTGATTCTGGAAGTCCTGGATATAGCATCCTCAAAGTTGAGGAATTAACAAGTCTATTAAGTGATAATTCTGCTTTAAAAGTTATTCTGGTCATATTTTGCCACAAACCTTCTGTCGTTCTTCTGAACAGTGAATAGAAAGAATTTGATTTGTGTATAGCATGGAAGTCTTATGGATAGACAACTGTATTTTCAAGGAGACTGGGATTTTTGAAAGGGCCTGGGAAAAACAGATATTCAAATGCCAAATGAAATTCATATTGTCTCATTTTTTCTGTGGATGTCTGAGTTTTACTGATGATAAACTGCATCTAAATTTACAGTCTTTTTTTCTTTTTTTTTTTTTATTACGTCATTGATCATCATATCCTCTTTTTCATTGACCCTAACACCAATCTTAATACTTCTCTGTAAGCTGTGGTTTTACTTAACGGTTTTGAAGCGCTATACCTATTTGGGAGAAGTATATTTTGCTGGTATAAAGCACTTCTGTAATAGTATATTTGCAACAGTGTTGAGTTGAAGCAGTATAACCACTCAAGTGTTTAAATATGACTTCTCTCTCCCTAGCCCCAAAGCAATGAGTCAGATACCAACTGAAATTTTGCCCTTTAAATTTTATATCTCCCTAATTCTCTTTAGAAACAGCCAAATGCAGAGGCTTTGGAGTAACTGCTGGCTTCTGGAGAAATAGTTCTTTGCATAGAGAAGACCAATGAAATCAGTGTATAGAAAAGGTTGTTTGCATTTTGAGATGATAAACTAGTCTGTTTTCAATGTGATGCATTTGTGAGAATGGAATGACTGATGCTGTTCTCTTTCAACACTTATGAAGAAATGAAGTACATCTGTTTGAAAATACCCCATAGCATTTGTTCTACTATTTAGAAGTTGATTGAAACATGTTTTGTAGTTATTGGTGCTACGTACTCTTGTTAGTTGCTATGTAAACAGATAATTTTCAGGGAAAACAACATTAAATATGTTGTAGGAAACAGAAGAAAAACAGAAGGCAGCTATGGATCCAAAAGAGATTGGGTTTTGTTTTGTTGATGGTATCTCATTGTAATTTTTTCTATTCTTCTCACTGCACAGCACAGCAAGAGCTCTCAGTGGTGCCAGGAACACTTTCTGAACTACAAAGGGCTTGTTAGAGCTTCTGTTGTAAGAGAGCAGCTGAAAAAGCTTCTCGTCCGCTTTAAAGTGCCAAAGAAGTCCAGTGAAGGTGAATTATTTTTTTTAACCTGTTGTCCAATACATATTAAAGGTAGTCTTCAAATTGTCAGTCTGCTTTCTGCTGTTCTTGTGACCTTTGAAGTATTTTCTTTCTGGCCTAAAAATAATGTTAATTAAATCCAGATTTTTTTTTCCTAAAAATAACTGCAGAAGAGTGTTTTAGCCCATTTTTACAATTAGCATTTAGTCCAGTCTTCATTAGTTAAGTTTTCCAGCAAGAACTTATAACCACTGATTATATATTTAATGGACAGATTTATCAAGAGTGTCATAAATAGATCACCCTATTCCCTCTTTTGACTTTCCAAAAAGCGATTTTTCTAGTATGTTCAAAGTGATGTACAGTCAGTCATTGGGATCTGATTTCCCGCAGTGCTGTGCGTGCATGGGTGCCGTGACCATGCTACACCACTTAGACACACCCAGGGCTATGGGGCTGGATGGGATCCACCCCAGGGTGCTGAGGGAGCTGCCAGAGGTGCTCGCCAAGCCACTTTTCACCATTTCTCGGCAGTCCTGGCTAACTGGGGAGGTCCGAGTTGACTGGCGGTTAGCCAATGTGACACCCATCTACAAGAAGGGACGGAAGGAGGATGTGGGGAACTACAGGCCAGTCAGTCTGACCTCAGTGCCAGGGGAGGTTATGGAGCAGATCATGTTGAGTGCCATCACGTGGCACATTCAGGACAACCAGGTGATCAGGCCCAGTCAGCACAAGTTTATGAAGACAGGTCCTGCTTGACCAACCTGATCTCCTTCTCCTTCTTTCCGCATAGTGGATGCGGGAAAGGCTGTCAATGTTGTCTACCTGCACTTTAGTAAAGCCTTTGACACCATTTCCCACAGCATTCTCCTGGAGAAACTGGCTGCTCATGGTTTGGACGGGCATACGCTTTGCTGGGTAAAAAACTGGCTGGATGGCCAGGCCCAAAGAGTTGTGGTGAATAGAGTTAAACGCAGTTGGCGGCCGGTCACAAGTGGTGTATCCCAGGGCTCAGTGCTGGGGCCAGTTCTGTTTAATAGCTTTATCAGTGATCTGGATGAGGGGATTGAGTGCACCTCAGTAAGTGTGCAGATGACACCAAGTTGGGTGGGAGTGGTGATCTGCTGGAGGGTAGGAAGGCTCTACAGAGGGATCTGGACAGGCTGGATCCGTGGGCCAAGGCCAACTGTATGAGGTTCAACAAGGCTCAGTGCTGGGTCCT